ACAATTCTCTAGAAATATAAACATTTTATTACATCTATGATACCCTGTACAATTCTCTAGAATTATAAACATTTTATCACATTAATAATACCCTGTACAATTCTCTAGAATTATAGACATTTTATTACATTTATAATACCCTGTACAATTCTCTAGAAATATAAACATTTGATTACATTTATAATACCCTGTACAATTCTCTAGAATTATAGACATTTTATTACAGTTATAATACCCTGTACAATTCTCTAGAAATATAAAAAATTTGTACATCTATAATACCCTGTACAATTCTCTAGAAATATAAACATTTTATTACGTTTATAATACCCTGTACAATTCTCTAGAAATTTAAACATTTTATTACATTTATAATACAAATAATGTACAAATCTCTTGAAAATAATATTTCATTACAATTATAATAAATACATTAATAATACTCTGTACAATTCTCTAGAAAAAGATAGAAGTACACTTATAGTACTCTGTACAATTCTTTAGAAAAAGATAGAAAAACACTTAATACTCTGTACAATTCTCTAGAAAAGATAGAAGTACACTTATATAGTACTCTGTACAATTCTCTAGAAATTGATAGAAATGTAAATTCTCTAGAAATAGAAAGAAATGCACGTTTAATACTCAGCACAATTCCTTAGAAATACACTTAAAATACTCTGTACAATTCTCTAGAAATAGATAGAAATACACTTAATACTCTGTACATTTCTCTAGAAACTGATATGAAAACACTTAATACTCTGTACAATTCCTTAGAAATAAACTTAAAATACTCTGTACAATTCTTTAGAAATAGATAGAAATACACTTAATACTCTGTACAATTCTCTAGAAACTGATATGAAAACACTTAATACTCTGTACAATTCTTTAGAAATAGATAGAAAAACACTTAAAATATTCTGTACAATTCTGTAGAAATTGATAGAAAAACACTTATACAATACTCTGTACAAGCCAAGTTTGACAAGTTTGACAAACTTGACTGAGATCTCAGTAATATATGCATGCATACCTAGTTTCATCAAGATCAGATAAAAATTATAGTATCTATCATCCTTACAAGCCAAAATTGACTTGTTTTCACTGAGTCAAGGTCAATAACTCTGAAATTGTTCATCCGATTGTTATCAAATTGGAACTCCACTGAGATCTCATCATTATATACATGCATACCAAGTTTCATTAAGATCAGATAAAAATTGAAGCCAAATTTGATTAGTTTTACAGTCAAGGGCAATAACTCTTAAACTGTTCATCCAGTTATTTTATGCAGATTAACAATCATCCCATTGTAATGAAAGTTTTTAACACTACACATAATCACCACAAATGCTATATTAAGAATGATATAAGTTAATGACGAACACTAATACATGTATCAGAAAACATTTAAAGTACATACCACAACCAAGTTCATCTTCACCAAACATACAATCTTGTTCCCCATCACATCTCCTTGTTAATTGGATACACCTAAAATTAAACAAAATTTTTAATAAAAACACAATACAGTTGTAGAAACATGAAGAAACAAAACCTGACCTTAGCTGAGCTTATAAGCTATTTCAGCCTGTGTCACTACTGAAGTTTGAATCTTTTCCATAAACAAGAACATGTCCTATTTGTCAAATTTGTCAAGAATTGGGCCATCTAGAGTGTTTATGGGCTGAAAATTGAACATGTTTTCAAGAACAAGGGCAATAATTTGTACTAAATATTTTTCGATATTTCTGATTTTTTATAGGGTTCATCCATTG